ATCTTAAAAAAGCGTTCGACCTTGTTGAACACCAGTGCTTACTCCATTAACTAGAGCATTACGGCATTAGGGAGAAAGGCCTGAAATGGTTTGAAAACCATCTGACTACCCGATTTCAGAGGGTCAAACACAATCAAGACAGATCATTCAATTTAGCAATTGGCCATGGGGTTTCTCAAGGATCCATATTGGGCCCAAAACTGATTGCGATCTACATCAATGATCTTCCACAATGTCTAATGAAATCGTCCATAGGCATGTATGCTGACGACACAGTCATTTCTTTCTCTGACACTAGTCCAGGTCTTATTAAGCAGACTCTTCAAAACGGTCTGATCTCCGTTGAGCAGTGGTTACAAGAGAACAAGCTTGTACTTAATCAGAGTAAGACAAAGTGGATGCTATTCGGAACTAGACAAAAATTAGAACACTCCTCAGACATTGTAATACAATCTCATGGGCAAGATATTGAAAGAGTAACAAGTTTTTGTTACTTAGGGGTTACATTGGATGAGCACCTTACATGGATTGGGCACGTTGAAATAATTTGTAACAAAGTAAGCAAACGTCTAGGACTTCTTTCCCGCATACGACCCTATCTTACTCAAAAAGCTGCTAAATGTGTTTATTAAAAACTAGATCATTGGATAATGCAATTCAACAGTTTTTATTGGCTTAGCCATTATGGTATATTAGCCGCTATACCATAATCTACAGATATGGTAAGCGTACGCGTAAGCTTAAAATTAAAAGGGAGCTAAAAAATTTAATAAAATTTAATCATTTCATTTAACGTTTTTAATAAAACAATTATTCCATTCGCGCTTGTTGGATATGAGATGATTATAGCCAACTCGGCGCTACGCGGCTCGTTGGCTATCTATCATCTCATATCCAACGCGCACTCGTAGAATAATTGTTAAATACAACTGTCTTATACAACCAATTGTTAACTACACTGACACGGTATGGGGTGGACTGTCAAAAGGCTGCGGTAAAAACCTACAGCGTCTACAGAACAGAGTAGCGCGCATAGTGCAAGGGAGGTCCACGATAGAAGAAGCATTTCAGATGTTAGGGTGGATAAACCTAGAAACACAGAGAACTACGCACAAGTGCATTTTAGTTCATAAATGTTTAAATAATCTAGCCCCCCCCCCCCTATTTTTGTGATTATTTCATAAGAAATAATCGTATTTACAGTTATAACACCAGAAACAGTAACGATCTTCAATCACCCCCTCCAAATGAAGTCTGGGTAAAAACACTTTTAGGTATTCAGGTTCGATCCTTTTTAATAAATTACCTAGAACATTGAAAGGAGCTACATCACTCTCCAAGTTTAAGAACCTTCTTAAACAATATTTTACGAGATGAGATATTGTACATTTTATTAGCTCTTTATTCTACATGATTGTATTTTTATTTTGTAGTAGTTTTTGGCCGGTGGTAGTTTTTTACTTATTATGTAGTAATCATTAATTACGCAGGGCTCCTATTGATACCAGCCTAGTGCTGAAAGGGCCACCCTGCTTAAATAAAGATGACTTAACTTTAACTTTATATTAGTTGTGTTTGACAATGCATTAAGTCGCTTAATGCTCCTGTAACCGGTATAAACTTTCAGATCGACTCCTGAGTTGAATGTTTTTTCGATCACTTTTTTCGACTGCACTTCCTTTTCCCCCAGCCTACAACAGCCTGACGTAACTAACGTTGCCTGAATTGATTTGTATGCATGAAGTTTCGGCTTAGAATGAAACTGACAGAGTTATAGCTGACGCATTGACTGACGTAAATTTCTTGTCAACCAATCAC